ACTTCCAGGGGCTGGGGTATGGGCCTAACTGCCCTCCTGCTACTGAGAACACAAATACCAAGGACTTGGAATCCAAAGATGAATAATCTGTGATATCAAAAATGACATTGCAAATTGGTTCCAAACACAAGGATGTTTCATAATGGTCCTGGTGCTGACTGCCTCATGCAGCTTCATGCTTCAAATGTTTTTCAGTCAAATAAAGAAGCTTAATAGCCATCAAACTCTTGTCCAGTGTGATTACCATAAATCATTATAAATGGTTTCTAATATTGCTAGGAACCTAGATGCATGGCCAAGAGATTCTCTCATTGAAGAATGTGATATCACAGTGCTCACAGGACCAGCCTGCACCTCTGCTCAGGAAGTGAAGAGAATCTCCCCAAAATGTCTACTAGAACACGATACCTTTCTGCAAGAAAAGTCAGTGGTGAGACCCAGTCGACATTATTTAGACAATGGCTATGATAATAATCAGGGCTAATATTTATTGAGCAATTACTCTGTGGTGGACCCTTCTTCACATGAGCTACTTGATTTGTAGATGAGGATACGATACGGAAGCACAGTGAGGTTGCAGAACTTACCCAACGTGGTCAGCAACTCAGGTAGATACTGCCTGGTGATAACTTTTCCATCCATTTCACATCAACTATTGAGACCTTCTAGGTGCTGTGCTTGGAGCCCCCTGTAGGATAGGCACTGGACTGCTAACCACAAGGTCAGCAGTTCAAACCCACCAGCCACACCTCAGAAACCCTATGCAGGGTCACTATGAATTGAAACAGACCCAACAATGATGGGTGCTGTAATTAGGGAAATTACCACACCAGCGCTTGCAGATGTCCTCACTTGAAGAAGGCTGTTTCAGGGGCTGAGTTTATGCTGCACACAAGCCAAAGATAACAGTAGGAGGTCTCTTGCAGTTGGAGGGGCCAGGGAAAACTGGGGGCAGGGGACATTTGAGGAGAACCTTGAGGAATAGGTAAGATTTTCCTTATGTTCAGTCTTCTCTCCACCCTTGCAGATGATGTGGATGTCGTTCCAGGTAAAATTTCAAGCTTACATTAATGTTCTCTTTTCTTTGGCTCTAGACAGGATCTAGACCCAGCTCTTCGTTCCTCTGGTCCCTATCCCACTGGGAACCTGCTTGTATACCTCCTCCCACTTTGCTCCTTACCTTGCCCAGATGGGTCCAATATCGTCACCACCCGACCCAGCGAAGTTTCCAGATTTAGAAAAAAAAAAAAAAAATTCAGTACCACCAGCTAAATTAAAACTTCCGATAAACAACAGACTTTTTCAGTATAAGTATATCCCAAGCAATAAGGAGCTCTGGTGGCGTAGTGGTTACAAATCGGGCTGCTAATCTCACGGTCAGCAGTTCCCTGGTAAAATGAGTCTTTCTGCTCCCGTGAAGCTTTACAGCCTCGGAAACCCTGTACAGGGTCGTTATGAGTCGGAACCGACTCCACCGCACATAACAACAACAAAGCAGTATCAGCAATGGGTTTGTTTTTTAGTTTGCAATCAGGAAGAAACAGCTTTGGCCACCAGAGGGCAGGCTAGCTTGTGAAATGATTTCTTCCAGCACCAGAAGAAAAGGAACTGTTTCACGCTGGACAGAGATTCCCTTCTTTTCTGTAAACCAGGTCAGAGGAGAGAAAACTGAAGGCACATCCCCTCCTCTCCGACAGCAGAGAGTCTCCCAGATAGCCCCACAAGAGCAAGGACTGATGGGCTCTGAGTCCAGGTCTCTGTGAGTCTTCTCAGTGCTGGTGAGCAGCGCCAGCACTCGTTGACACAATCTCACCCAGCCAAGGCGGGTTAAATTCTGCTCGGCAGGCAGTCATCCTCGCTGATGGAAATCAACTGCGGCTGAGTGACAATGACTCACATCCTATGTGTGCGAGACTAGAACTGTATGTATGGGAGACTAGAACTGTGCTCCAGAGGATTTTCAATGGCTGCTTTCTCAGAGGTCTTTTTTCCGAAGTTCCTTGGGGTGGATTCGAACCTCCAAGCTTTTGGATGCTGCTGCATGCATTGAGTTGGTTTTGACTCATAGCAACTGTGTGCAGGGTTTCCATGGCTGTAAATCTTTACAGAGCTGAATGCCATGAGTGGCTAGTGTATTCGAACTGCTGACCTTTAATTAGTAGCCCAATGCGTAACCACTATGCTAGCTGTTCTAAATGCACTAGCCCGTCAAGGTGTCTCTACAGCCTTATTGAGTGGCTGAATGAAAGTCAAAGGAAATTGCAGAATCCACAGACTGTGTGATGTTTCTCTGTGTTAAAGAACACACACACAGATTCATATTTTTGTCTATGGACAAGAATAACTCAGCCGATATTAAGCAAACTATTTTCAGTGGTTGCCTGTGCCAGGAGTGAAACTAGAGTGGGGGTAGCTTAAGGGTGAGCTCTGAGCATGATAACTAGGATCTGTGTGGAGTTTGAGTACAATGAATGTGGGATGTTAAGAATTGTGAAAATGTACTGTTTGTAGTTGTTGTTGTTAAGTGCCGTCGAGTCAATTCCGACCCATAGCAACCCTGTATAGGGTTTTCAAGGAGCAGCTGGTGAGCTTGAACCACCGACCTTGCAGTTCAAATGACTTTGCAATCTAATGCATTAGCCCACAGCACCACATTTGTAGTAGTTGTTGTTGTTATGTGCCATGCAGTTGGTTCGGACTCATAGCGACCCTGAGAAGCTTTTTAAAGAGGTTCAATGCCTCCAGTCCCATAGGCCCTCCCAGTTCATTGGGCCAGGCTGCCCTCCCAGCCCAACCTGGTGTGGTGCTTAGCATTGAAGCACATTCATTAATGGGAATCAGTGCAGATTTTGAGTCAAAGGAAAGGCCTTTATGTGACAATAACAGGGGCTCTCCCAATTCCTGTCCGGCACGAGCGGAATATCTGTGTGAGTGTTGCATATACGACTGTCTGTGGACAGACACAGCCTCTCCACCCCAACACACTCATCTTCCAATCTGGTCTCTGCTCCAAATCCACCAGGGTTCACTTCCTCATGGAAGCCAGCCCAGGGTGCTTGGAGCATGATGTGGTCGCTGCCACAGATCCCATCCTTGAGCCCCTCACAGCTATGCTGTCCTCCTAACTTGCCCCTTCACCTGACCCTGCTGACAGGGTGTGTGGAGTCCTAGAACATAAGAACTCTGGGCAGCCAGAAATGGTCCCAGGTTCTCTTAGGCTCTGTTTCTTAAGTAGAAGAAAGAGAAGTGGTCTTCCTTCTTCTAGATCCTTCCATCATCCTATCCTTTCCTGGAGTCAGCTAAGCAGTGTGAGCTCACCCTTCACGTCTGACACTGAACTCAATCCCATTTCTCAATTTCCAGCTAGACAATAGATAGATCTATATGGAGACCAATAACACTAGTGAGGTATGCACACCTTAGAATAAACAACCATTTGAGATAAAAAGGGCAGAACTTGCCCAAGGGTTCACAAGGGTAAGGAAAGAAAGAATAATGTAAATGGAAAACACAGAGAAGAAGTGGGAATAAGTGATATTACATAGTGTAGACTGCAATCAATGGCATGAAACAAAATGTATCTGAATTGTAAAATGGAAAACTGATTTGCTCTGTAAATCTTCGCAATAAAAAGTTTTAAAAAGAAAGAAGTATGAACTCCATCTACATAGGATTCCAATTTGGTGATGAGCATGTTCATATATGAGGGGGTTTCAACAAGTTCAATTGTGGAAAAATGGAAGTGAAAGATAATGGAATTTTCCCACAAACTTCTTGAAGCCCCCTTGTATGTGATCACATGTGTGGAGAGAGGTTTAGGGGAATGTTGTCCTAAATGCTCTGAGATAGGGATTATGTGTGAGACTCTCTTTTCTCATGGTTGTGGTTTGTAGTTGTTAATTTGTTTTTCAAAGCTTGTTCACAGCACTAGAACAAAATCACCGTGAGGAAGAGAGAGGATGTAGAACAGAGACACAGAAAGCAAGATGAGGCAATAAGGAGAGAACAAAATAAAATGAGAAAGAGAAGGATAGGAGAGGTGGAGAATGAAAGAGGTAGAGGCAGAAAGGCAGCGGGGAGAGTGGAGGTGTACACTGGGAGTACCCAGCTGAGACCTTGGTGTGACCCCAGAGTGGCAGCAGCAGGTGTCCTTAGAGCTAGTGGACCTGGCATGGATTGGCCGAGTTGCTGCCCATACACTGCCTGCCAATGTACCATAGTCGTCATTCCAGGCTTCCCTGTGAGGCCCTCTGGCTGTCTGGGCAGCCTGGCATCTCTGCTGGTGAAACAGGCAGCAGATGCAGGAAGTGGCCAGAGAGCAAAGTCTCCAGGTCAGAACAGCTGAGTGTTGGGTCCCCCAGATTTCTGCACATCCTGCGAGCAGAGGCACTGGCTGTTTTTCTTCCCAGACTGTCTTTCCCAGGATGTCAGTAAAGCTAACAGCTTTAGAATATAGTGACAGTATTTCCCTCTGGAGTAAAGGGCAGGCATGCTTACTGCCCATTAGAAAACATTCTGCTCCCATCAGCTAAGCATTCCTCTTTTGTACTACAACCCCCTGTTTGGGTAGGTATCACTTGGCCCCCTTTATGTGGCCTTGTAGGGGTTGGGGAGTGGTGAACTGATGCAAAAAGACTTTGGCTAAGGCTATTGCTGTGAGTAATATAGTCCTTTGTCTTTGACCCAGAAGTCTCAAGTCTTTGACCAGCATCTATGAAATTGGGCAGACTAATTTGTTAATGGGATAAGTGCTTAGACTTTTTAAACTGAGATACTCAGAAATAAGCAACCACATAGCCCTTTTCCATTCCTGAGGACCTAGGGAGCAAGGCACTATGGAGACCCTGAGCACTGTGTCTACCCAGTGTCCCAGTGCCTCCGAATCTGCCTATTGTAGATTGAAAGCCCAGGTATAGTCTACCCAGAGTTCTGTGAAATTATAACCCAACTACATTTGTTTCCTGTGACTGCTGTAAAAAAAGTTACCATAAATTGATGGCTTAAACCAACAGAAATTTATTCTCTGACTGTTCTGAAGGCCAGAAGTCCAAAATCACCACCTCTAGAACCAGTTCTGGATACCTGATACCTTCAGCGAAAAGGGGGGAAATGATAAGGGAGGAGACGAAAGGTAGTGAAGACTTCAAACTGGTGAAGAAATCTGAGTGTAGGCAATTGCAGGGCAGTGGTCTTCTCTTTATATGTGACCTTTCTGGCCCTGGGTTTGTCAACAGGATTTGCTACACCACAACCTTGCAAAAAGATTGAACAGTCTACTATGCAAATAAAGTGATGTGGCCTATCAATGGGATTGGTCAGTTTTTCCCTCCTGCTAAGTTGTAAAAGAGCTCTGGTAGCGTGGTTACGAACCGGCCTGCAAGCCGCAAGGTCGGCAGTTCGAAACTACCAGCCATTCTGTGGGAGAAAGATGAGGCTTTCTGCTCCTGTAAAGATTTACAGCCTCAGAAACCCAGTGCAGAGTCACAATGCGTCGGAACCGACTCCACGGTACTTAACAACAACAGGTTTATAAAGGAGCTTTGGTAGTGTAGTGGTTACGAATCGGGCTGCTAATCTCAAGGTCAGCAGTTCAAAACTATCAGGTGTTCCACAGGAGAAAGATGAGGCTTTCTGTTCCTGTAAAGATTTATAGCCTCAGAAACCCTGTACAGGGTCGCTATGAGTCGGAACTGACTTCACAGCACATAACAACAACAGGTTTATAAGGGCTAATCCTCCAGAGGCTGACAGATGGTGGTGGGGACTCACTACCATCAAGATGAAGAGTCTTCATTGTGGTCTTTCAAGGTCTACCCATATGAGATCAGACCAACAACTGTAACATGCAGATTCGATGGGAAATGTAGGGGGCAGTGAATTTATGCTAATGAGGGAGGAACGGCTCCGTGAAGGAGGGTGAGAATAGTTACACAGCTGATGTCATCAGTGTCACTTAATTGTACATGAAGACACCATGGAACTGATCTGTGTCCTGCTGTGTTTATCCTCAACAACAATAAAATCAATAAAAACATTTTTAAAGGGAAAACCTAGAGGAGAGTGTGCTTTGGGCCTTGGTGTCTGCACTGAGAACTTTCTAGACCCAGGAGACAGAAAGAATGGTAACACTGGAGATGGTGGGAAATGGCATGAGATGGTGGTAGCTGAAAAGCAACAAGAACCAGGGACCAGCAGAAGACAGTGGTGGGCTTTGTGGTCCATGGAGTGAGGAGGCAGCTCACAGAGTGAGAGTGTGGGGTGTCTTCAGGCAGGAGGCTTGCTGGTGGAGTGGAACTTCCAGGTTCTTCTGATGGAGTCAGCAGAGCCGGACCACTTGCCTGAGTGCAGCTGGTCAGCTAGGATGACTGAGAAGGAGGTGAGCGCTATGTTGCTTGGAAGCTGTCCTGATGGATGAAGTGTATCCTGAGTAGTTCCTGTTACTTTTCCTGGTCCTGAGCTGTAACCTGTTACATCCCTAATAAACCAGGGTGGTCTGGGAGTTCTGTGTGGCCATTGCAATGAATTCTGGGGCCCAGTGACATCACTAGAGTTGATTGTCTTCTAGTGTGGTGACTTATGGTGTCACCCCACATGGACCTCCTCTCACACTAAACCGTACAGAACCCTTAGGAATGTTTGTTATAATTTAAAATCATAGAACAATATGTGATAATTAGCTATAAACTAAATATAATATTTCTTAGATTGCATGAATACCAACAACAAAATTTCCTTGTAAAATCTTTTACAATGAATTGTAACATTAGTTGCAACATTATTAGTTATTATTTGTAAAAAAAAAAAAAATTTCCTTCTTTTCTTTAATTACTACTTCATTCTCAAAAATGTTATTGAGGAAGAACAAACAAGAAGGCGGATCAGGTGAAAGTGCAGTAAAGAAGCTCTGCCAGCAACAACACAGAATACCCAACCAAGCAGGCTCAGGGGATGGTCCCAGAACTCTGAACCACATATAAAGGGATACTTAGAAGGTTGGAAGGCTCACAGGTGGGGGAATTTGTGGCAGAAGCAAGAAATCTATTGCTTTCTAGTCCGAGATGCTCGGCTGCTACAGGAGCCGCCATCTTGGGTGAGACCACGTGGGGAAAGGATCGGAGTGGCCACAGACGCCTGGCAGAACCGCTGAGATAAAGGTGTGGACATTCTTTTCTTTTGGTATCTA